TCTCTAACTTCTTGTGGCAATACTACCGACTCTTCAGCTTTACTCTCATTAATCCTCATTAAGTTTTAACAGTTTGTATAAAAGTATAGCAATATTGTGATCGATAACTATTTAACCCTTGCTTTTAAAACATCTTCATCTTTGTGAACTACTTTTCACACCTTTGGCTCTCTCTCTCTCTCTCTCTCTGATTACTATAATTCCTGTTCTCTTAACGACTGAATGTCTCACCGCTTGATAGAAGTGTTTATTATTTCATTCAAACACTGCGTCAATACAATCCCTGCTGTGGTATATGTTATAGAAATTCACACAAATATTTTCAATCACTCATACATTCAGTGATACTTTTGCCGCTAATTTCAGTCATTTTTATAACAAATGATTTAAAACTCTCTTCACTTTGTATTCTTTGGCAACAATTTTACTGAAAAACATAAAAATACAATTAAAAAGTGTTTTTCACTTCAAATATATATTATATGTTATTCTAAACGAGAGTTTAGTTCAAAATAAAGGATGAAATTCCGTAACCAATCATTTAAAGTCGCTTTGAATGCAAAACATTAGTCTCTATGAGTGATGAAAGTATTGCCAAAACTGTTATTATCCTTAACTATATGTAAACAAAATAATACGAAAACAATTCTTTAAGCGACAATAAACTCAATTAAATACTAAATGTATTCAAAAATGCGAAAAAGCGTGAAAACTGTAAAATTAGGAATGTTGAATAATATATTCTTAAGATGTTATGATCAAAAATGATTATGATAAATTTTTAAGTAGAAATTAATAATAACTTTTGACAAATGATAGGAAATATATAATCATTTTGTTAATAAATGACAAATAAGTAGTAATTAAAATTGTGAACAAAAAATTGATTATAACTTATCGGCGATGACTGGCATTCATTCAAACGTATGAAATGATTGCCATATTTAGGCCATTAATGAATGGATGGCTAAAACATATCACAAACGACGGGATCATCTCAAAGATGATCCGCCTTTTGTTAGAATATTTCATAATTGACGCTATTTTATAGCAACTCTAAAGAATAGCAAATATGTTATGATTTTCACATATTCTTTATGCAATTTAAATAAATTTTTTTTAAAATCTAATATGTTATTAGATAATGTAAAATATGATAAAATGTTATACATTTGAATACATATTAAACTTCAAATTTCATTGTTAAATAGTTTCACTAAAAGGTTGACCCATTGATGGTCGGCATTACCCCATTGATTAAACAATAATACAGGATATGAGTATTGGTTGTTATTGTATCATAATATCGATCACAATAAATATTCTTAGGGTTGAGACTAATGTGAGACACAAAAGGGAGGATAGTGTTAAATAATAGGATCTAAACATTACATATTAATATTGAATGCTTTCTATAATCTATTCATTCGTAAACAATATATCCGTTCATAACTATTGTAAAAAGCAAAATATCAATACTAAAAACATTGGAAATTTTTTAAAACGTATAGACAATTGCTTATTTGGCACTTTATTTAGGACCAGTGCCGACCACCCACACCCTCCAACACCTCAACACTACAATACTTCACGCCTCGTGTGTCAGTCAATGAGTCCAATATATATACTTGTGATCACAAATAAGAAGGCGCTTTTGTTCGCTCTTTTCAACCAATCTTTATTTCTTTATCGAAATTGTAGCCAAAAAAGTAAACCTATCGTTCATTTCATGTAATTTACAGAAAAAAGCTTTAATTTATTGAAAGAATTTCGATTTAAAAAATCTAGTTATCGAGACCTCCACTCAACAAATATTTTGTCAATTTTTTGAAATTCTTTAGACATTTTGTCAATTTTTTGTTAACAATAGATTTATACTAATTGTGCACTACTTATACTTACATTACTTATAAGATATTTATATAAGTATGATGTATGAAGTTATAAAGTACACTATAATTTATATTATTTGGAAGATATGAAAACTTTTAAAATTTCTAAAGATGTAATACATTACAGAGAGTTATAAATATAATCAAATTTTCATATTGTTAATAATTTGTAGCTATTTTATCAAATTTAAGTTTATACACTATTTATACAATAAGGCTTTTTTAACAATCATTAATTTCCTGAATTAAATACTCCGATGCTTTTACAATAAAACAAACTGTTTGTTGTGAATCCCATAAACATTTACATAAAATGAGTTTAATTAAGAAAATTAACTTTTGTTAGAAGTCATTGGCAGTGAAGGTATGCCTTTTGGAGGGCCACTATTGGGGCCAATGATTGGTTTGAGTGTACAATAAAAGTTGAGGTAAGCATATGTGTGATGTGAGCACTCATGAGTAACGCGTGTCTGACGCGTGCCTTTCAAGCCTCGCACACGTGCGGTGCCATCACTTCTATGCCATCACTTCTATGCAAAACAATTAAAACTCATTTCAAATTGAGGTTATCTTTGAATACAAAGGCATTTGTTGTTAGCCTTTAACGCGATTCTCATTTTTAATTCATTTGATTTACTGTTGAAATAAATTTATTCTCTACAAAATACAGTAGTCGTTAAATGTATGTAAATTTTGTGCATTTATTTTTTGCTGCAATTATGATATAAAAATGTACTAAACATTTAGAATTTTAAGTCTAGTTAATATAAATATTATTGTTGTTGTTATCTATTTGTTAAATCAATTATATACAGTGTCTTAAATTTTAGACTCATACTATTTGCTATTTTTTTCAAAAGTAATTTAAGATTTTATGATTTATAATATATTTTCATTTTTATTAATAAAAGCAATAATTTATATTTTCAATTTTTAAATTTAAAACATCAAATGTTTATAAATTATCGTAACAATTGCAAAATTACTAAATGAACCATGCTAATTTATAGTTTTACTTTCAATCTTTGTTTATTTTCATAAATTATGACTATTATAAACCAAGAATAATCATAATTGGCAGAAAAGTGATAAATATTGATTGTTTGTCCAAAAATTAAGTGTATGGATCTTAATATTTTCCATTAATTTACATCAAAAATCTGGCATCATCAATTTTACAAATCCATTATTATTAGTCTACTTATTTTTATTTCAGTTATATTTCAAAATCATATGAGCCGTCTATTATAACATGGCCAATAAATTTCTTGTCATTTTATATTACAAAATAGTTTTATTTAATATTTAATTGAAAAATAACATGTTTAAAGTTTAGCAAATTTAATACAATTAAAATTACATTAATGGTAGTAAGTATACAATTAATTTATCAAACAAGCTTATTAAGAAAGTACAATAGACATTTCACAGGTCTAGTAAATTAGGCCTTCACTAGTAGTTCATTGAGAGCGAGAATGTATTGTTGAGCCATTTGTAAGGTTTCATATTTGGATAGTTTAGAGTCGTCTCCAATCCCGGGAACCACTTCTCGAAGTCTATCGAAAGCTGTGTTCAATGAATGCATTCGTTTTCTTTCCCTCGCATTCGCCGCTAATCTTCGTTTCTTAATGACAACAATCGGAGCAATACTTTCACCACTTGTTCCCAATTTTGACAACTTCTTGTCCGTTGACTTTTTTGGCACCTTTTTCTTGTCCACCGGTTTGTTGTGATGTTTGGTCTGTTTGGATGCGATAGTTGTTGAGGAAACGATTCCACGATTTGTTTCATTCAAATGTTTTGCAATAAACACTCGTTGAAGAGTGGAGTCGTCGGAAGGCGAGCCGTAAGATGAGAAGTCATCCACAGATTCGGCATACAATTGATGGGCGGAAACGGAGTCTATATTCTCAAGATTTGTGTTAAACAATGCAAATGAATTGATGTTAAGAAGATTCACATCATTATTATTTAGGTGTTGTTTTTCGGCGGACAAACCGGAAGAATGGTTTTGATAGCAGATATTGTTCTTGACATTCATTTCCGATACAATCAAACCTTAAGATGAAAACTTCACAAATAATTTATTGATAATGTATTTATGGCATCGCAGGAGACATAGAGTCAAACGGTGGCAACAGTGGAGCGCTCTCTCAAAAAACTGCCAAACAGGAGGTCTTTTGCAGTCTATGGCTATGTCTCTAATAGTACTCCTCTTTTAGTAAATTAAACAAAACACTGGTTGAAGATTCACGAGAGAGAGAGAGAGAGCGCGAAACAAACGGTAATAGAAAGAGAAAGTCTACCAAATTTCTGATGAATTGTTGTTTTGTTAGACTAATAAAGGATTATTTATTCCGCCAGTAGTCCCCCTCTCTCTAACCCATACTAACGGTGCANGAGAGAGAGAGAGAGAGAGAGAGAGAGAGAGAGAGTCTGAGGGACAGCGCGATACACCCCATCACAAGTCCCCTCTACCACTCAATTGCATGATTAATGCCATTGAATTTTAATGGTCTGCCATATAAGCCATTATTTGAGTATAAAAAATATTCCCAAATTATTAATACTATTAAGTTTTATACAAAACGAAATAAAGTATTTAAATAGTTTTTAAACATAAAATATTTAGCAATACATAAAGTAATTGAATGCAAAGAAAAAATATTTCTGGTAGTTTATAAATTCATTAATAAAATATGAAACAAACAAATAACTGAAAGTTGTCTCACTTGGCGTTGAATTCAAACGCGTTTATAACGACTCGTAGATGAAAATGAAATAAATAATTACAATAATAATATTTTTTGTGACAAAATAACTGATGCCATGATATGATCGGGCAATTGGTATAGCGGTGATGGTGTCTCACCTGCTCTATAGCCACAACTGTATGATCATTAGTGCACCGTTAGTATGGGTTAGAGAGAGGGGGACTACTGGCGGAATAAATAATCCTTTATTAGTCTAACAAAACAACAATTCATCAGAAATTTGGTAGACTTTCTCTTTCTATTACCGTTTGTTTCGCTATATTATCTTAAAAAACATGTACAATGTATTCAAAAAATAAATAAATAAGAGAAAAATGTTTTCTCAAATTCACGCGTTTTGTGCGCAAACCGTGAAATAGATCTCACGTTCAATAAGTATAATAATTTTCATATATGTATTGCCGATCGCGAGGACAGGTGTGTATAGCTATGTATGTATGCATATAAACACACGTCTTGTGGTTGTCTGTGAGTCGGTTGTGAAAAGAAACCGTTACTTCGGATACAACTGTATATTTGATAATCAATGTCTTTGTCATAACACCTGAACTTTTTGGGTCACAATTTGCGTTATGTTTTGGCAACTGATAGAGTCGTACAACCGTTAGAAAGAAGATGTATAAACAGAATTGCACTCAAATATTGTATTCTTATATTAAGTCCTTTTTCCATAAAACGTGTTATTTTGCAAACAATTTTGGAAATTAGTTTTTCTTAAAGAAAATTTTACTACAATTTTAGTGTAAAAATGGAAAATTATATGGAATTTGAATTTTTAATTTTCACGAATCTATTATAAACTCGAAATTGTGTCAAATTTGTGATTGAAATTAAAATTATACGTCTATTCATAAAATCTGTCTCTTCTTTGATTTCAAGATTATTGTTGAAAACATTTTTATAATAAATATTATAATTCAATATAATTGCACTTTCTATTAATTATTGCCGCAATTATTTAACAATTAACAAACTGTGAGATAAAAAATAACTTTTCGTGACTTAAATATGTATATAAGTTTGGATACGGAAGACAACAATTTCTAATGAGACAAATAATGTATATATTTTTGGGATTTCATAAAAGTTTATATATTTATAAATACTTGAAGTTGTCTTCACCTGTTTTGAGGATCAGTTGGAGAGACCGTTCAAAACAGTCATTTGAGTCATTGGTGTTGCCAACGATGACAGGCCTGTCTCTAACACCTGTCCATAATTACAATGACATAACTATACCTCGAGTGTCACTCTTGAGTATATCTCTTCAATCAGACATCAGTTGCAATCAATTTTTGACAAATTTTACTGTATTTCAAGTGATGTAAACAATTAAACGCTTTATTTCTCAAACTTTTTACGTTAAAATATATAGAAATTTACTTTTAAAATATCTTAAGCAATATTTTCAAAGTTTTATAATTATTTTTATAAATAAAACAATAAACCGTAATATATTACAATTAATAAATTCTCGATAAAATAATAGTTAAAAGTTATACAGTATTTATAATTACAATATATCAAACAAATATATAACAATAAATATCAGTCATCAATAGATATATAATTTACGAGTAAAATATATGGACAATAAGAGTGTGATGTAAAGCAATATAAATGTAATTAAACTAATTATGAGAATTACATCCAACGAGTGGTTATAACACCCGGTGTTTAACAGTCCAAACCATTTGCATTGAAACGATTTGGCTGTTTCTGCGGTACATTGAATCCAGTGTAGGCACAGTTACGTCGGGACTCGACCTTCAATAAAAAGGTCCGGATTTGCATCGGTTTTAACGTTATTATAAACGTCTGGTTAATGTTGTAATCATTTTCACTGTTCGTTAAATTTTCTTTCACTACAAATAGGGTTAAAAACATTTATAATCAATAAATTTATTTAAAATATTAATTTTAGTCTCAAAACAGACCTGAATTGTCGACGCGATCGTAGGCTGACTTATAGTTGGCGTACGGATCAAAGTCTGGCGACCAAACCATACGTCTCCTGTCGGCTGAACTCAACTCCTGGTTCGCCGAAAGTGTCATCTCTTTGACATGAATTATACGGAAAGTTGTAAACAAATTTCTAAGCGAAACATCGGTTGGCGTCGAGTATTCCGAGTCTTCGTTGATTTCGTAGAAATGCTCGAGTCTTATGAGGACATAGTTGTCATCCCAGGCCTCTAATGTCAGTAAATGGATATTCTTTGGCAACATTTTGTTGATTCCCACAAAATTGATGTAATCGTCGGACCGAGAGATGGCTCGCGAACGAGTTCTGCCGGCCGTTGGTCTGAGTTTGCGGAACATCGGCACCGGTCTCCACGTCAGCGTTTTGCTCATTGTCCTCATTTGGCGCACACTTTGCTGAATATCACTTATGATAAGTCTGTGCTTTCCTCTCACTACTAGTCCTTTGCCGTCAACACCTTTCAATAGAAACATACAAATGAATTAAAATCTAAATTCATATAACAATCGCAAAACAAACAAACGCTTGAATACCGGGTTCGTTGAGAGCTTCTTCCATACCATATCCGTCATCAAAAAGCAGTCTCCGGTGAAGCATGAGCTCAATATTGCCGTCAGACATACTGCTCCCGCCCTCAGACCTGTCCGTCAAGACAGTCATCTGCAAGTCCTGCGCGTAATCCCTGATGAATATCCAACTCGTGACGGGATAGTAATTACTGGCCACCACTTCGCTGGTCTCCAAATCCCAGGTCGGCCTAAAGTGACGAATCCTTCGTATGGTTTCCCTCGAGTTTGAGTCCGTAAAGAAAGTGCCATTATTTTGAAAGTTGGAGTCATAGCGAGTAATTATCTCCAATCCCTGGTCGTGGAGCCAATTGCGCACAGGTATGGGACCCACAACCCAATCAAACTCCACGTAATCGTAGTCTCGATACAGACGTATCACTTGAGTCAACCACGGCTTAAACGTCTGGTGAATTTCGTCGACAAGCCTTCCTCTAACTATCTTAAAAGTGGCCGCATTTGACACCTCGTGTGGGATGTGATGACTCGGATTGAAAGCGTAGGCACCCGAAGGCTTTTCGCCCCTAAACCTGTCCTCTCCCTGATAGTAGAAGAAGTTCTGTTTAAACGGCACTAATTGACCGTTTTTGAGACCAATTTGTTTCAACAATCCTGTCTTTCCGTCTATTTTAATACTAATTCTTCCGTTTTCTAGAATCACATCACCCGAAGAGGTCGAGCCATCTGTTATCTGACTTTCTTGACTCGTTATTATGCTTTGATAGTCTTTTTTGGAGAGAATTTTAAAGATTTAATTTCAAATCTATTTATGATTTGCTAACAAATATTATTACAAACCATTAGTGATTCTGTCGATCATAAAACTGGAGTATCCGAGAGGGGGTAGTATTGCCAGAAATAGCAGCTCCGAAACGGCCATCGAGTTTCTCTCAGGCAATGACATGATCTTCGCTGTAATCGGAACAATCTGTTGGTTTGCATTGTAAGCAATTTTGTCAACTTTTTTGTATTAAATATAGTTTATGTCAACTTTTTAAAACAAATTATTTGATTAGTTGTCATATTAAGTGTGTAATGCCTGACCTGAGTCTGAATGAGCCCTCCGGACGCGTCTCTGACCCGATATCTGAAGTCTCTGACGGGTAATCTGATGTAGTGTTGGACGGGATGTGCCAATGGGTTATAAATAATGACAGCGGCGTCGGACTCGTAGTCAATCCTTTCAGTGATCGCACATTCGCTTACATTTAATTGATTACAGAATGAAAGACTAGAATATGTGACAAAACCCTCGTTTTGAAGCAAATAATGATATGAGTCAATGACCGCCTCCTGAGCGCTGGCCATCGCTGTTGAAGTCATGCGGACGTAATCGTCGTTAACAATCTGTTTGGAAGTGCCGGTGACGGCGTCGTGATGTTGTAATATACCCAACGCCTCCTCCAGGGGTAACAGTTTGGGGGCCAACATATCGCTCATTCGCGACAATACTGACAATTGTTTAGCGCTTTGTATTAAATTGTTTGCGTTTTTAATCAAATACTTCAGCGAAGGACGACTCGTAAAATATCCTGGAAATGCATATATCGATGACATTTGTTATAGTTTTTCATCATTTTTATTTGTGTTTTAAGATATCATTTCTTATATTATTTATTTATTTATTCTAAACTCCATATGTGTTGAACTCATAAAAATTATTATATGTAATGATTGTTTGATTTCTTTTTGTGTTTAAAGAATTAATCGTTTTTATTGCAGATGTGAAGAAAGATTGAGTATTAAATTGATTGTCGAATAGATATCCTATTTCTTGGAAACCTCTCTTAACTTGAAATATACTGAATATAATTTTTATATCATATATTATGTAATGAAATATAAATGTCGTGTCAAATGAATTCAGCAAAAAACGCAAATTTGATGTTTTGTTATAACGATAATAAAAAGCATTTTTAGCGAAATGTCGACAAATAAATTGTGCGATTAGGACCTCATTCTGGTTATCGTTATCATAAAAACGAGTTAAAATCTTATATCGACTTATAGTTATATAAACTTGAAAATATGGGAAATTTTAGTTTTATTTTTCCGAATATTTTACTTTTAAATTTAGAAATTGTTTACTTTTCACTTGATTTTGTTTACCACTTATAAATTACTTTATCCTTATGTTTAAGTGTGAAAGGATTTTACTAAATGATACGTTATCTCAATATCAACATTACATGCATTACAGCATATAAAACACTTTTTCCCAACACTTTCATTGAGTTCCCAAATTAGGTTCACTTTAATGAACAGCACATATGGGGAGTGAAAGCGAACTACTTATCCAAATATAGTATTTATAAATTAAAAGCTATTTTTAAAATCTTACATAAATCTCATGCAATTATTCCGATAGCTTATATGAAAGGACAGGTTTAGTAATCCCTGACCTAATTAACGGAGTTTATTGAATATAATAAACACACAGATCTCGTGTTGTATTTACTAACCCATAATGTGATTTGACTTTTTAATTAAAATAAAAAATTATATTGCTTTAAAAAAAGTAATCATGATAATTGTGAACTGACCCGTCCAGTAGGCATTCCAGGCGTCGGCGTACGGGAAGAAATCATCGAGTTTGATGGGCCAATTCCTCTTCAGACCATTCAATGCCTTCAGATAACACGACGGCGAAGAGTACACTATATTTACCCTTTCTTTCGCCTGAAGAGCGTTAATGGCATTCATTAGTCGATCCAAATTCTGATACCAAATGTTAGCGTTTCTGTAATAGAAATCCATTCCCATTGTTATAATCGTGTGATTAGTTCCGTATTGAAGGGCCTGTTCTCGTGCTATTCGGATGAACTCTCGGGCCCGGCGTTCGGCGTTTTCCTGTGTAATCGCTTCATCAAAACAGTTCACATCAAAGCAAAAGTTTTTTGGCGGCCAATACACGTTCGGCAGGACTCCCGTAAACAGATTAGCTTTTTTGCCCAGACTTGGACTCGACATCCATAGGAACTCTA